AAGGACACTGCAAATACGTATGTGCGTCTATGTAAAGTACGCTGATAAAATAAATGGTGTCGAAATAAAACGGACCTTAGCAGCGGCCTTCTTGCCGGTCGCCTTGCATGCGACCTGCAGAGCCTTGCGCGAGGTGGCGAGAGCGAAAGCCATTTTAGATGTTCGTAAGGTGATCAGACTCTGCTGCACAAAGGAGAGAACTGATACCGGAAACACAGGCAACCAGCGCTTTTGTTTTGCAAGCAAATCTTGATGCCGTACGCACGCCGTATCCCTGTCCTGTCCGTGGGACAGGGCGCTTACCTAACAGAGATCGCAGGATACAGACATGGCACACCTGCAACACATGCGCTTAACAGCTATCTGCACCTGCACAGATTGGCATGAACGATTTGCTACACCTGCTTGCAAGTTTCATACAAGTTTCTGATGCAAGGATAACTCAGTGGCGACTGTATAAATGCTGTGACGTGCACGCTGAACATGGATTTTGATACGCACTGCAAAGCATTCTTTAGGCGCCAAAAGTGGTCTCTCCATGTTTGACCCTAGCTGTTCGGCCTTTACTCATTACCAGTACCGTAGGACGGGAGGACAGTAGCTGTTGTCCTTGCTAGGTAGCAAGCTGATATAATGGGTCACGCTGCTTAGGACGGCAAAGGGCATTCCATCCCGGACAGGGCCGGTGAACACAAGGTCCAAGCTCTGCTGGACCGCAAAAGGGCGACAGCGCCGAACCGGAGGCCGTTTAGGACCGAAGGAAGGCAACAAGCACGTCCGTAGCAACCTGTCGTAGCAACACATCCGATCAAGGGAGGACGGGCGGCCTCAACCAAACGCATGAGCTCTTCGCAACTTACAATCGGCCACGGGCTTCCAAACGTCGGAGCCTAAGGCTGGCACCTGGGAAAAGCTCCTACTTTGCCCATGGCTTGCCTTTGACCTCTGAAGTACTGAACGGAACGCCAGCACGCCCTCTGTTTGTTACCTCTTTTGCCAGGGGTTTCACAACGCACGCTACATGTTCAGCACTCCACGCATGCTTAGCTTCATGCTATCAATTAAACCGTGGTGAAAGGAACAAAGACGAACTTCTTGTGACCAGCAGTTTTATGCATAAAATCGCGGGGCAGTATCAGATAGACAAGGGACAGCGGGTAGCCTATTTGTGTGTGTCGTCCTGCCTCTCTGGGGGAGTACTGGAACCATGGCACTGGCATACGGTATTCGGTTCTTAAGTTACGGGAGCAGGTGGTCAAACCATTGGCGATGCTGCATGCTCTGGCCTTGCGGATGCGAAACTGATCGAAAGGGGCCTGCCAGCCAGGGTGATACTGAAAGCAGTAGCCAGCATGCAGCGGCGTCCATCTGGTTGCCGAGCTTTTAAGACTCCATATCATTGCACGTCCCATGGTTCTACACCGGACTGTAATCCAGGTAACGGCATCACTCATTACAAGGCTCCAGTCCGACTTCGTGCCTTTTTCCTTCGACTTAAGTGTGGCGTGTGTGTGTGCCTGTGTGTGTGCCTGTGTGTGTGTGCCTGTGTGTGTGTGTGTGTGTGTGTGAGTGATTGTGTGTGCGTGTGCGTGTGTGTTCTGCACGACAAGAAAAAGAAAAAGAGTGAGTGTGTGGCTTGTGTTTGTGAGTTTGTGTGAGCTTGTGTGTGTTTGTATGTGTTTGTGTTTGTGAGGATGTGTGTGTTTGTGATTTTGTGTTATGCATATCGGCAGGTTTTTCGTGGTGCTGATGCTGTGCTATCCGAAACGGGACACATAAGCCCGAGGCGAGCGCCACAATAAGCCTTCTTGGTGCATCGGGGTACCTTCCAGTGGCAACGTAGTTCCTGGCTGTGAGGAAGGTAGCGAGCCTGGTTCGCGGAGGCCGAGGCCGCTGTACGCTTGATGTTCCTTTAGCTCGTGTCTCGCGCGTGTTCTCCATGTGTGCCTGTTTGCGTGGCCGCCTTTGCAGTACGTACCCACCAAAATGGCTGTATGTGCTCCAGACCCAAGAAGCGGTACAAGCACTGGAACCGAGACCTTCCTTATGTCATGAACACCCCAAATGTTACAGGAGCTTGCTTGGCGCAACGCATCCAGCATGTGCATGCGCTTTGTATGAAGCTCTTGATATCTCACGTCTCGCCGCCCAATACCCCACCCAAAAGTAAGAGCTCCACCTCAACACCCGTGCTGTGGGAAACCCCTACTGGGAAACACCCACATCAAAACTTCAGGCCCGTAACAGGACCGCTTCCGCCGCTGCTCACCACTCACCACGCGGGAACTCATCGCAGGAACACGACATCAAAAACAGAGGTGGCCACAGTGCGACAACGAGGTTCGATGGACATAACTGACAAGCACCCACGCATCACTCAACAGTTTTGGCAAGCTGCGCATCCAAGCGTATTTACCCAACAGCGACGGATAGGCAACTACTGCCTGCAATTGCTATGCATGTGACGTCTCGTATACCGGTATTGGCAGTTTATTGGTTATGCTGTGTCTACGTTCACATAGCTAAACAACGTAACGTAGCTGAAGGCAGCAGCGGCCGGCAGATGCGGACAACCGCTTCGACTAGCAAACGTAGCAGCGATACATTACGCGCTGGGCGTGAACTTGGTGGCGAAGGCGAAGGCGTTGTTGACGGCCGGGTTGGCCAGATGGTCGTTCAGGTTCTCAATGGGCCCCTTGCCGGTCACAATGGCCTGCACGAAGAAGCCGAACATGGAGAACATGGCCAGGCGGCCGTTCTTGATCTCCTTGACCTTGAGCTCGGCGAAGGTGTCCGGGTCGTCAGCCAGGCCCAGGGGGTCGAACGACTCGCCGGGGTACAGCGGGTCCAGGCCCTCGCCGGCCGGGCCGCCGTTCACACGGTAGC